CACCACACCACCCTCCACCCCATCCCTCTACCCCCCCACTCCTCACACACAACCCCCACGTTTATTGTTTTTCATCTATCTCCCTATTATCCCCACCCCCCCTTTAACACCACCCCCCCCGCCACCCCCCCAATACCCTATGCCCCAAACCCTCTCTCCATCCACAAAAAACCACAAATACAACACAAAAAAAAAAACAAGGGAGGTAGGGGAAAAAACGGGAAATACAAAAATATCAAAAAAAATACAACACATAAAAAAACTTTCCAACAAAACGTTGTTTCTCATTTCCCCCCCCTCCCCTATCTAAACCCCGCCATTACCCAGAACCCGGCCACTGCCGACGATATCCCACCCCCCCCCCCCCCCCCCCCCCACCCCGCCCCCCCTCCCCCCCCCCACCCCAACCACCACAACGAGCGCACCCCCCCCCGGGCGCTCCTTGCGAGTAAACCCTCCTCATTAGGTTGTAAGAGAGAGAGACCTTAGATCATGATCTATGTGTTTTGTGGAAAACCCGTCCCCTCCCAACCTCCGTCACTTGGAAGGCCGAGATAACCCCCGAAATGGAGTCTGGGAGGTGCATTCCATGGGGGGGTTGACCACAATCCGAAGGGGAAAAAGTTAGTCAAATAACGTATCGACCTCATTCGTAGGGACCGGCTTATTATAGTCCTTCTCACACTCTTATAGCAGTTACCCCTGACGACCTGCGACAGTAATGTGGTTACTAGATTCGGCAGAGAATGGCCGGCATAAGTGGATTCGGGGACAACCAATTATTTGGGACGCTTAATATGAGATCGCCGCGCATCCTTCGGTATGCAGTACGCTGAAAATTACCAGGCAACTCAGCCTTGGGAATGAGACAAGGAAGATAGTGCAGGCCACTTGACATGCTTCGTTCGTTCTGTCGCGGTGTGGAAGCGACTAATGCCTCTAGGTCTCGCGCTCAACCTAGAGTTGCCAAGCTTGGATAGCATATTCAATAGCCATAGGAATTAATGCATCATTCGGAAGATTGATGGGTCACATCTCTTGAATACCCTCCGTAGCATGCCGACGTGCTGGCTGCCTTTTTCACAGCTATCTCAGCCAGTTTTGAACAGTTGAGATCAATATATACGAGCATACCAAGGTCATTTCCCTGAGAGCTGGTCTGCAATCCGTGTGCCCCAGGCAAATACGTGTAATCACGTCGCCTAGGGCGTGAATTCGCAGTGCGACATTTGTCTACGTTGAATGGAAGGACGTTTTGAACTGATCAGTTAGACACCGTGTTAAGTTCGCACTGGCTTCGTCCGTGGTCGTGCGGTTCTCTGATCATTCGCCATATCTTGATATCGACCGCGAAAAGTGGAAAATTGCAAGCAATTGATAGCGTAAAATCGTTAATGAACACCAAGAATAGACGAGGCACAAGCTCAGAGCCTTGTGCTACACCACATTCCACAGCAATTGCACTGGACAGATTCCTGAAATCTCAACTCCAACTGACGTTCGTGTAAAAAACTGCTGCTCAAACTCAAGAGGGGGTGGCCAATGCCGTAGTTGCGAAACCTGAGAAAGAGAACCCGATGGTCTAAGCGATCAAACGCATGCGAGAAGTCCAGGTAGATGACATCGAACCCTGATCCATCATCAACAACATGAGTCCGGCTATTCCGTGCAATTAATAGGTTAGTATTACACGAATGCTTTTGACGAAAGCCATGTTGCTCTGGGGCTATTAAATTGTGGCTTTCCAGATATTGCATCAGCGCGTCTGCGATGATTGATTCCATCACTTTGGATAGTACGGTAAGTAGTGTTATTGGACGGTAGTTTGCAGGATCAGTGCGGCTACCTCCTTTATGAATAGAAGGAGTGATGACCCCTCGCTTCCATACTGGTGGAATAAGGTTTTCCTCTAGAGCATCGCTGATAGAAAACAGCCAGTGGTTCTGCTAGATCACTAGCTACCGCCTGCAGAGCCTTTGGTCGTATGATATCAGCTCCGGGAGAACTGTGGAAACAGAAGGATAACAACTTCTTCAACACAGCCTCCGTAGTGAAGGTGATGTTTTCTAAACCAGATGGTGGAGTATTAGAAATGAGGTGAATGTTTGGGCTCGACACTTGTTGGAACGTTTGGGAGTAATGAAGCCGTAGGAGATCAGCTGCTTCCATTGCTGACCGCGTGCATCCATCAGCCGTGACTAGCGCCGGAACCCCTCGCTTTACCTTTCGAAGGCCGTTAATGTGCCTGTACAGAGTTTGTGGTTAGTGCAGAATCGCTTCATTAACTTCTGCTGATGCGTGACCTTGTCTTCGCGGATCAGTTTCACACAGAAGTTACGATGTGTCACGTATGCAGTCCAGGTTTCGGCATTCGGGCAACCCTGGTGATTTCGCCATGCCAAATCCCTCCGGGACATACATTTACGTGTTCTGCTCCTCAGAAATGACTTACTCTGGTTTTGGGTTGGAAGGACTTCTGTTCCGATGCTTGCGCTACCAGTGTGCTCAAAGTCCTTGTAAACATATCCCAGGCCAGATCTGGGGGCATTCGATTAAGAAAGTCCAAGATGTATCCTTAACAAGCTTGGACAACACATTGTAGTGCGTAACAGTGTGCACTTTTGAACAGCACTTTGAACAGCCGTGCGGCAAATTTCTAGTTCCATCCTTGGGTCAGCGTTTTCAATCAGTTTGGTATCATGTTGATCGACATTCAGACGCGACCTCTTGTAATGTCAACTGGAATTCCTGCTCCAAATTGTGAAGGATGCGTATTCTCACATCACCATCGGTATGCGATTAAAGACTGCAAACAAATACGAGGCTTTTGAACTGGTCGGCCGTCATAGATCCCATTTTAAACCGTTCGCATTCTCTGTTCACGATTCCGGCGTGTGACAAAATCATGAGTATCCCGTTTATACCGGATGCTGAACAACGATGACTGCTCACCGAAAATTTTCGTCAGCGTTCTCATAGTTTCCTAAAAACTGTCTTTGACAACACGAAATTTGAGTATCATTCATGTACAACTGCACCGTTTTCTCAACAGCAACGAAACTTTCCAAGCAGCCAATTCCACACAAAAAGTATCTTCGTATTTTTGGAACCACGATTCGAAGGTTACTCCACTCAGTCCATCGAAAGCAAATTCCGTAATTGATGCTGCAATGGCGTCAACGGATGGCCGTGCAACTGTTGCTGCGGGTTCGGTTTGGATGTTCAGTTTCCGGAAAACAACTCGATCAATTGCTGCTGAGACTTCTCAAACTGCAACTGCTGCTGCTACGTTTACTCAAACGAGACTGACATGTTTGATCAAAACAGTGTCGCCAGAAGATGTGTCGCAGCTGGCTCCTTCATCCCGAGACCGCAAAACGAACTCCAAAGACGTGCCAGGAAAGAATCGTATGCATTGAATCATGTCTGTTTAAATAGTTTTAAGAATGGTCTGAAGAGAAGCTACTAAGAAACACTTCAGCCAACCATATTGCTAAAAGCATGCAAGCAAAATGAAGCCAATGAAGAGTGATCAACAGAGAAACCAATAAGAGACACGCATCCAACTGGCATTGCGATCTGAGAGCAATATAGTGACCACAAGCAGCCAATAAAATTAGCGGAATGATGTGTTTAAACAAATGTCCCACATCGATAGCTGAAGGAATCAGATCCGTAACAGAATGTTTTTCTAAATATATATGTGCAATAGGTGTCTCTCTAACAGCTTCAGGCATACTGGGGCTAAGTTGATGATCTGTTGGAAGAATAGCAAGACTTGCTGATTTATTTGGGCTGGTAGCCGTGTGGCCACTGATACACCGAAATACGAGCTTGGTGTGTGTGGGATTCAGACTTTTGAACATCCTTTGAGACACTATTTGAAGCCGTCGCTTTCAGTCGTGTGATAGGTCGCATTGTAGCTAGAAGTAGATGAGTATCTAAATGTTAGGTTCTTATACGGTGTCAGTCGACGGAGTCGAGCGCATTGATTAAGCAAGGAATTCACAGCAGATGGATCGGAGAGAAAGAGCTTCACAGGGCGGGGATAATCAGCTTCCTTCACTTAGTAAAGTTAATTGAAGTGTGTTTTCTGGTGTTATTACAGCTGCAGCGTGTGTCAACGGAGGTACGAATATGCTTGTTATTCATCTGCTTCCTGATTGAATCCTGTGTGGCGCTGATGCTGATCATGTCTAGGTCCCATCTGTGGCAACGATAAACTGAGAACTTGAATGGCATCTAATGTTGGAGGTAGCACTGTTTCCGTCTGAATGAGTCAACAATGGTTACCATAACCCACCACGATCGGGCTTCAAAGGGGCATACAACTGCACCGTGTCCGGATAGCAAGACAGTCACAGATGCATGACTGCGAATGATGGGGGCCTGTGGTACCAAAATGTAATGACATGCTTGCGAGTAAAGCAACAAAAGGGGCCTGCGCAACGGTACCGAAATACAGATTGACAGGTGGCCGCTTTGGGTAAGAGGGCAACTTGAGCGGCACTCTACTGAGACGGCTAATGCCGAATTAAGTGCGGCATTCTTGTTATGAGCCGTGTAGCCAGCAGAATATCTGTGCACCCTAAGCCGAACGCAGTAGCCATATCATCCAGGCCGAAGTAAAAGTGAGGCATTGGACGGACAAGTGTTATTCGGTAGTTCATGTGTAGACGATCGCGATGAGACCCACTTTGGCTGCTTGAGTGGTTCGTTTCTTCTCATAGATTGCATTACTACCAATTAGCGGACGACTTCTGATGCACGGCCTACATTAGCAAAACTTAGGCGCTGAACCGAAGGCAGTCGACCGTATAGCCTTCTAAAAATCTTGACAATAAGCGATAAACATTTATTTCGCATCCTGAGATGGATCACTGATTTACATCCGAGGCGTTGTCTTAGTGTATCTCACAGTAATTTTTCGTTCCACTCCATGATCTTCCTTCCGCACTGCAAGGACCATTCGCGCGCTGTCCGTGTCCTCAATGAACAAT